ACCACCTCCCAATTCATATCCTAGGGGTCCTAACCATCAGGAAGTACTTCCTGACATCCAACTTAAAACCTGGTTCCTTTAGCTTTCCCTATAGGAACACATCCACCCCTCTACCGTAGGGGAGAAAAGGTCATGACCCTCTACTTTGTGACACCCTTCTCATACCTGTATGTTGCTATAAGATCCCTCACAGCCTCCTCTTCTGCAAGCTGAAAAGTCCCAGTTCCCTCAGTCTCATCTCATACGGCATCCTCACAATCTGGCTACCCTCCTTGTGACCCTGCACTGAACTGATTCCAACCTTGCTATGTCCCTCTTGTAATGTGTAGCCCAGAATTGGTCACCCAATTGGAAAGAAGGAGGTAGAAGGAAGCAGGAGGTGGAAGCATGAGAGCTAAAGGCTTAGGGAAATCTTGTGAGAAGCTATAGAAGCCGGCAAAAGTGAAGCTGGGGCAATGTGAACATTGGTGCAGAACATCAAGATTCATGGGCTGTGGAGTTGTGGGTAAAATATTGGTGGGCTGTGAAACTGGAAGCACATATGAGATGGGCCAGAAGTGGAGCTTTCCTTGGCATGCTGAAGGGATTTGAGTCCTCTGAGATTAGCATGGAAGTCATCTTTCTGATCAACCCTGCCACATTAGACATTTTATACGAGAAGGGCCACACTGCAGCTGTATGCATCCAAAGCCAGCCAGAATTCATTTTTAGTTAACTTCACTTATTTCATAAATTTGAAAGATGCCAGCAGCTCTGCCAACACTGAGTAAGCATGAAATCTTCATTTACCAGTGCACTTACATATGGGAATCAATTCCATTCTAGCTTTTACCCTTTCTTTGAAACCATGGTGAGAGAATTTCCTATAAACCTGGTCCCAAAATGAAGAAGTCACTGATAAAAAAGGTTGAACAGAATCAGTCCCAGAAGTGAGTCCTGGTGAGCCAGGTCAACCATCCTGATGATTCCCCACTGATAGTCAGTCACCCTCTGCTTGTGGTCCATCAACCATGCCCTAATCCATCGGACAGTGCATCAACCTATCCTGAAGCTCATCAATTTCTCAACCAGGATATCATGTGGCACCTTGTCAAAGGCCCTGCCGAAATCCAAGTAAACCACATCCACCAGGCCCCCTCTGTCTAGCCACCTCAAAACCTTCTCACAGAATTCCACAAGGTTTATCTGGAAGGACCTACTTTTGTGGAAGCCATGTTGCATGGCTGCCAACCTCCCTTCCCTATCTAGGGCTTCTAGAGTTTTCCCTATTATAAGCATTTCCATTGTCTTTCCCAGAATGGACATAAGCCTAACTGGCCTGTAATTCCCCTTGTCCCCTCTGGTACCCTTTTTGAAGATGAGGATCACTGGCACCACCCTCCAATCCTCTAGAACATCTTCCATTTTCCATGAGGCCTCAAAACTGAAGCTCAACAGATGCGAGAGTACCCCGTTCAATTCCTGAAGTACCCCTGCCAATTCCCGGGTGTAACCCCTCAGGACCTGGCGCCTTAGTAACATCCAGGGCCCTGAGAAGCTCCTCAACATCTAGGGGAGTGACTCCAATCTGTGCCTGCATAACCCCAGCCTCATCTGGCCTTCCTGGTAGATCTCCCTCAACCTGCTCTGGAGAGACCGCAGAAGTGAAACAATCATTTAACAAGAAGGCAAAGGCCAAGAGAGAGTGGAAAAGAGCAAGATGAGGCAACGGTATTGAAAGGAGGGAGGGTGAAGGAATAGGGCTGGATGGACTTGTTCACATGAGTTTGCCTAAGTTTCTCTTTTTTCCAACTGTACATTCATTCTCACATCAAGTCATAACTTACACAAATAGTTTGTATGAAATTGTATACATTTTTGTTTGCATTTTCTAAAATATGTATTTTTCTTAACATAAACATTTTTGCAAGCAGTTTTCCTTAATATAATGCTTTCAGTATTTTTTCTAAGCAATTTCTCCCAACACATGCAGTTTTGTATTTCTCTCCCACTCCTTTTTTCTGGGTAACTGCACTGCAAAAATCTGAGAAGTATGAATAATGAATTGTGCTTCAATTCACCTATTGATTCAAGAAGTGTGAATTTTGTAATTTCTTATCAAAATTCTCCCCCAAGCCTAGCAAATAGGTTGAGATTGGCTTTTAAGACAATAGAAGTTGTCTGCCCTTGATAGGCAAAAAGCAGATGCAAAAGTAAAGGATACCACATGATTCCACTCCTTACCATTTCTTTATTTTAATGTAAGAATTGCATATACTGAAATCTTTAAAGTAATTAATTAAAAATTGCTGTTGCTACAGCTTTTACTAAAGATAGGGTCTTCTCACTGGTGTCCCCTAACCTATGAAATTCCCTTCTGAAAGTTAGATGTCTAGTTCATTTTGTGGCCACTTTTTAAAACATATTGTTCTCACTGGCTGTTAACTGAAAAGATATTATGGTATTGGCTACTGATATTACATCATTATTACTTTGCTTCTATTTGACCCATATACCCAATGAAATGACATTGCATTTGCATCTGGGTTTCCTCCCCACTACCTGGCCCATTTGTACACGACACAGTGTAAAACACTGTCCCATTAGTACCTGTATTACAGATTGCAAAGATATATGGAACATGCACTGCCTTTGAGAAGGATGCTCTTGGCAACTATTATTTTTGTCAGAAGGACACAAATGGTTACTCTGATTTCTGGAACTATTGACACCATTCATTATTGCTAAGCATCCTAGAATGCTGAGAAACATGGCTAGACCTCTGCCTACCTGCCCATCTATCTACTTCAGTGGGTCTGTCTATCTATCTATCTATCTATCTATCTATCTATCTATCTATCGTCATCAACAACACCTATCTATCTGTCATCATCCATCTCACTGAGGAAGAATTGTCCTTTAGGTCACCCAAGACTTTCAGTGCAAAGGGCTGCTAAGATCTTTAATCACACAAATCAAGTAACTTTACTTCAGGATTGTGTGTGCGCGTGCGTGCAATAGTAATCTTCTCTGAAAGACAGACACACCATTCATCATGGCAGCAGCCAAGCCTGACATGAACCAAAAGTGTGTCTTACAGTGCACCCCAGAAGCCACTGCAAAGACCCAAGAGACTCCACTGCAAGTAAACATGTTGTAAAGTTCTTTCCACAGACAGGAAGTCTGGAAAACATTGATCTAGATCAGTGGTGGTGAACCTATGGCACGCGTGCCACAGTGGGCAGACAGCCCCCTCTGTTGGCATGTGAGCCAAGTCGCCCCAGCATCGCTCCAGCAGCCGAGCATCGGATAACAGCGCACATAGGGACTATGCGCATACTCGGAAAGGAGTAGCGGCACCAGGTGATGACGTCACGAGATGCGACTCATTAGCCGCAACTCATCTGAGCTTTCACATGGCCAGTCAGTGCACTGCCAAGGATACACACACACACACACACACACACACATTTGCTTGGACTGGCTGTGAGTTTTAATACATTCATTTTTATTAACACAAGATTTTAGCTTTGAGTTTTCTTATGAAAAATTGAAATTTAATATCTAAAATTTAACAAAGAGATGTTCTAATTAAGAGACTAAAATTCTTTTAATGTTATGTTGTCCCCCCAGCATATTTGAGCCAAGGTTTGACAAATTATCAGCATGCATACAACGGCAAAGATCACATTAACTGTGCAAAAGCACGCCAAATGCAAACTTTTACCTTTCAATAAAAAGCTGTTTGTATCATTGAAAGTTCTGTTATTGTGTTTTTCTTTTAAGACAAAAGATGTTAATGTATGAGTTGTTTTTTCTAAACTAAAACCTCAGAATTCAGGTTTTATTGCAGTGTTGGCGCTTTGCGATAAATAAGTGAGTTTTGGGTTGCAGTTTGGGCACTCGGTCTCTAAAAGGTTCACCATCACTGGTCTAGATCATTCCAGCTACCTGGGCTCAAACACGCACAGTGCTTCATGTCTTTTTCCTTTTGAGGCCTCTCATTCATAGCTCACTGACTTAAAAAAAAAAATTGGCATCCCGGCTCCCTCCTCTGGCATGGCAATTGTCAGTCCTGGTATTGTGACACCTCCAGCATTCCTCCTTCCCACCCGCTTTAACATCCATCAGTGCCTCCACCACCAGAGTCTCATTTGAACCAAGGGCCAGCCTGTTTTCAGTGCCAAACCCGAACCACAGAGCACATGAAATAGAAATTTAATCACTCTCAAACGAATCATACAGAGCACAGGAAGTGGGGAACAAGAAGCTCCAGCATGGAGGATGCTAGGAATAAAGCCTCCACTCAGCTCAAGAGGGATCCGTGTGGGTGGCATCTGCTTTGCAAGCAGTACTGCAGAGGGCGTGCTTTGGATGCAAACGGACCCCATACTTAATCTTTGGCACCTCCAGTTCAAAGAATCAAGTCACTCGTGATCAAGAAGACTTTTGCCTAAGGCCCTGAAAAATTGATGCCAGACCACTCTTCCCCAATTGGGTGCCCTCCAGATGTTTTAGACTGCAACTCCTATCATCCCTGACCATTGGACTCACTGGTAGAAACTGAAGAGAGCTGCAGTCCAAAAAATCTGGGGGACACTGGACTGGGGAAGGCTGGGGTAAACCACAGTGGACTAAATAGACAAACGGCAAAAAGCACTTTCCTAGTTTTGTATATTGTGAATGCCTTTTTCTCCCCAATCAACCAGTGCCAGCCTTACCTCCGGGATGAGTTGCCACAACTTACAGTTTGGAAAGCTGACCAGACCCACAGCAGTTCTCATTATGCAAAGAGGTAGCACCCCTTGCCGCCTGTGCACTGAAACTTCAGATTGCCCTGGTTGTCAGCAAAGTGTCTCACGGGATGCTTTTGTGCATGTTTAGATTAACAAACGGCCCCATTATCCAATCACTTCCTGAAGCTCGCTTTGATTCTGGATTTCAAAGCCCAGTTCACAAGCTCACTCAAGAGCCACCCCTTACAGAGTGCCCTTCCTGCCCCTTCATGAAAGTCTTGTTACCTGGTCATCCACTTTGTGGGCGATCAGCGTGGCTCCTTCCTCCAGCTCTACCATGCTGATCGGCCGTATGCGAAGCGCCACCTAGAACACACAGAGGAGATGGATGAGCTACAGAGATATCCTGCTGCTAGCAAAGTAGGAAAGGAGGGAGAGACAGACGCAGTGCCTACCTTTATGGCAGCCCTCCCTGTCATGGCCACTCAGAGGCACAATACATGGAAGACGTTCCTTCTGCTTCTAAATTTGACTCAGTCCACTTCTGGTCAATTTCTTCCAACTGCTCCCTGCCCAGTATGCTTCACCTGAGGTAACATCTGCCACTGGAGAGGCAACCAACTGTGCCTCTTGCAGGCCTGGCAGGCAGCCGCACACAGACAATTACAGTATTTTTCCTGGAAGAAAGGAAACACCGCTCCGAGAGCAGCGTCTCCGCTTCACACACTACCAAGCCATGGATCAACAGAAGTCGCTTCAGCCACATGAGCCCACGAGGTTCATTTCTTTTCCCCACTCGCCCTCTAAAGCCAACAGCCTGAAGCTGCAAGATGTTCAGTGACTTGAGCTGTTTGCACACCGAAATACCTGCTCTTTACCGTGCAAGTGCCAACAAAGCCAGATGTTGCCCCCTGATGCCTGCTGTCTTGTCTGAAATCACTTCTGGGACTTCAGTTGAGCAGGGAGCCACCCCGGGGCTTATTTCAATGGAGGGGTTGTCCCCTTGAAGAAAGTACCCCTAAGCACATGCAGAGTGCATTCTCCTCTTTCATAACCTGATATCTGAAATCTGAAGGAAAGGTTTCGAGGAGAGAGCCCCAAAAAGGTACAAGTTCAGGCAAAAGTGTGCCTATGTATTTTAGAAGCTGTTAAGTTAATAGAAAATTAAATACCAGCTGTTGCTGGAGAAACCAGCCCTTACAGCTATGTGTTGTTCTGTCTGCAATATGTGGTTGTTTCTTCCTTTGGCAGCTCTGGAAATGCTGCTTAAGATGCCTTTTCACTTCCCAAATCCACTTAATACAGCATCACAGGTTGCTCTCATGAAACACTGCTTGTATCCACGCACCATTTTAAAACCCCCTCTCTCAACCCTAATTCATTCCGTTTGTTGTACGTGTACACATCACCCACCTTAAGCCATAGGGCCACTCGAAAGCAGCCAGGAAATGCAAAGTATGGAAAATGGAGAGAGTGATTACGTATGACCAGAACCTTGTTCATATATGTTCAAACACAATACCTTCCACGAGAATTTTCCTAAATAAGCTGGAATTTCAGCTAACTGGGGTTTTCTTAAGGAGAATTATCTTGCACAATGCATGCATTCATTTAGAATATTTATATTGGAAGTTCCAGGTTGCCCATTTATGTGAGTACATGGTGCAGTCATTACTATAATGTTCATAAATGCGGAAGAGATTGTATGTACAGTACAACAGAAGCCTGAGTATCTAAATATTGATTACCAGTGTGATTTCCTGATGTGCCTGTTAACTTATGCTCTATTTAACAGCATCTGTGTCTTCAAGCCAGAACAGCCCTTCTCTACTCCTTGTCCAAATATCCGGTCATATACATCAGACTGCACAGTGTGTTTAAAGATACATACCGGATACACAAAACTACAGTCACAGATTGCCCACAAAGAACAACTGGGCAAGATTCTCTGTTAGGATACATCCGAATTTTCTTCAGCAGTACTATACGGATGATGGTTAACCCCATCATCTGTATAGTGACTAGCTGGGAGCACCCCTGCTGAGAGAGGTACTGGGGAGAACTCAGGCAGATGTCCTGCCCTGGGTCATTATAAGTAATGAGAGATGTTTACAACGCCTTGACCTCTTAGGTCGAGGGCATAAGAGGATTTAGCCAAGTCCACTACAGAAAGGTGGCTGTGCTACTAACCTGCTGCTAACCTGCCAGACCAGCTGTGCCGATGGCACTCAGTCCCATTCTGATAGGGGAAACTGAGCTTTTGAGACTGGAGAGCACCCTCACAAGTCATGCTGAGTCGTCCTTCTCAGCCACACCGTCCAGTCTGTTTCAGCAAAATCAACAAAGGCGCATTAAGTGTTAACCTCAGGTAGATGGATGTATCTAAACCTGCTAGTCTGAGGTTAACACTTCATGCATCTGAAGTGCCCAGAGCTCAAGAAAATTTATGCCAGAATAAATACGTTGGCCTTTCACGTGCCACAAGCCTCTCTGTTATTTTCAGGTACTGTCCAACACAACACAGTGGTTAACTAGGTCAGTCCTAGTCCAGTGTATTAAACAGCTTCGTTAGATTCCCCCCCTTTTAAGCCCATAGTCTGGGAAATATAAAGTATTGTGCTGAATTTTCCTCGCCCGAGCACTCAGGAAGCCCTGCGGGACTTTGAATGATTGGTCCCCAGGCGGTGGGCAGTCATTTCTCCCTCATCCCATGGCTCCCCCAAACACCTCCTCCTCCTCCTCCAAGTTGCGCGAAAGGGAGCAAGAAAGGCGAAGCAACTTCCACTCACCGTCAGCTGCTGGTCTTTGGAGTCGCTCGTCTCCTTCATGATCATGGCAGGTGCGCTGCGCGGAGGCTCGCTCAGGCGCGGAACCAACAGCCGCGGCCGCCACGTGCTGAGGAGCCTCCTTCCCCGGTCGATTTCGGGCTACATCCGTGCTTCCCGGGGCGAAAACAAGGCAGGCGCTCCCCTGCCCGAGGGAAGGCTCCGGCGCCGCCACGCAACGGGCATGATCGGAACCTCGCTCCTGTTAACTGCGCCCCGCTTCAGCCCGCAGCATTCCCTTTCCGGAGAGCTGCCGCCTTGTCCACGCCTCGCCTCGCCTCGGGCGCCTCTGCTGTCCCCCCGCCGGGATCAGTAGAGGCGCAGCCTTTCCCTGCCCCGCCGCCTGCCTCGGCCTGTCTCCGGGTGTTGCGAGTGCCCTGGAGATCTTTCCAAAGTGTACACAACAACCAGGAGCGAAGCGGGCTTCCTCCTGGTGACACAGCGGCGTACCGTTGGCCGGGCCGGGCCGGGCCTCTGCTCCGCTCTCCGTCGCCCCCTGCCGGTCACGACCGGAGAAAAAGTGGAGCGTCGTTGGCCGCCGCAGCGATGGAGCAAGCCGGGGTTTCATCCGTCGGAACTGGAGAGCTCCGATCAGCTCCCGCTGCCTCGCCTTCTGATTTCTGTTTCAGTGCCAAGGCTTAGTCCTGGAAGAAGGGAAGCAAAGCAAAGCAAAGCAAAGCAAAGCAAAGCAAAGCAGAGCAAAGCAGTTTCTCTCTGTTTGTGTGCAGGATGCCCTTGCTTTCCCACCGACTAACTTCTGGCCTGTTTCCTCGACACTCATGATCTGAGATTTGGAGGAAAGGCATCCATTGAAGAGGATGCAGTGAAATTACAGTCCCAGACTTACAGGCTGGAATCTGTCCTTTCAGACGAGGGCAAAAGGTGGGAAGCCATCTGTCAATGTTCAGAGTGCTTTTCGGTTTTGACATGGTAACCCTGTAAAGTAGACCACTCAGTGAGTCTGCCTGTCTGACGGGATTTCACCGTGGACTTCTCATGTTCAAACACAATGTTCTGTCTGCATTGCCATGTGTTCTCCTTTATCCTTTAATGTCTCTCAGTACAGCAACAAGCCTCTACCTTTAGGTGAGAGATGTCTCGCCTCAGGAGGTCTGAGGACCACTTTCGCCTTGCTTGGACACAGTTCCTTGCTGTGGCAAACTGTAGGAGGATGGGGAAAATGGCAAAGTACCACTGGATTTCAGCAATAAACAGCTTCAGAGCTCTAAACACACCAATCTAAACTTCACCTCCCCCTCACCCTGAAGTGGCCACAGAGTGCCAAAAAGGTGAGATTTAGCTTCAGAATAAGCTAAGATTGACCCTTTTAGCATCCTCTAGAGCTAAAGCTGCCAACCCTTTGTAGTCTCCGGTGCTGTCAAGGCCTGGCAGCAGTTTCCCCGTTATTATTCAGCTAATCAGTTGCACTTTGAGGCGGAGTGAGGAAGACTGTGTGCGCGTGTACATGGGGGAGTGTGGGCATTTGTGCATACCTGCATGTCTGTATATGGGGGAGTCCATGTGCACATGGATCTGTGCAGTGTATACACATGAATGTGCTTCGGCTATTGGGCAGTGTAAAAATATAACCATATATGTGTAGATGTATCACCCTCAGCCTGCCATCTGCCAACAGATGCGGGCCTTGGGGCCTGAAAAGCATGTGCACCCCATTCCATAAATCCTTTACTTCTGCACAGTGCTTTTTTTGTAAGAAAAAAGGTGCTGGAACTCATGAAATTATTTACCTTTTGCACGTAATCACTGTACACACACCCACACACATCAGTTGTGTAACGACACATAATGGTCGCTGTCCGCAGTAAGCACTCAACACGCAACCACATGACCAATCACAAGCCAAGCAGCACCACAACCCGAGCAGCACCATCACAACCAGCGCGGACGAAGTACGCATGCATCGGATTTGACACACAAGCAGCCCGCACGCACTGTTTTAATGATTTTGCCGCCGACCTGCTACGCTTGACAGGGCAATTCAAATCCATGTGAACCAAACATCAAATTTTCAAAGTTACTTTTAAAACTTGGAAAATCTGTTGAAAAAAGGTGCCATAACTCTGTTCTGGTGCGTTCTATGACAAAAAAAATCACTGCTTCTGCGATACTTCTCCAGAGGTTCCGTTTCTTCCAGCAGCAAAAGTTCTGATGTGCAGAGGAGGCTCATACTGGCTGCTCCAGACATAGCCTGGGCTATTACTGTATTAGTACTGACCTGCAGTTATCACTGCAATTGGATTCTTTCTTAAAAAAAACTTTTTTAAATGTTATTTTAATATTAATATTTTAATGTGATTTTAATTATGGAATGTAAACCACTGAGGGGAATTTTAATACTTAGTGGCACAGAAATATGTCCAATAAATAAATAGCCTTAGCACTCATTCCCCTGTGATTATGTCTAGCTCTGCCTGCTAATCCCTGGAGTGGCTGCTGCCTGATCAAGTCAGCACCTAGACTTCCATTTAGCGTTCATCTCAGCACCAATCTGTACCCTGGTGGAATGGATGTTCTCCTGAGTGAAGTGTGTGCACACAGCCAGTCTTAATGATGAGGAACACCACTGAGGTCACCTCTTCTATAAAGACTGATCTTTATAGCTAGATCACTGCCTTACCTGTGCATTTTGTCCATTGCTGCTCCCCATCTATTCCAACTGCTAATGTTCATTAGATTACCCTGCACATGTCACTCTGCCCAAGAATGGCGGCACCTGAGGGGTTGTCGTGGAAGCAAGCGCTTGGTATTTTGATTTAAAACAGCACGGTCAGGCCTAACTAATTTGGCCTCAGAGGGCTCATTTGATTGAAATTGACTACACCTTTTGCAAAAGCATTTGGCGGAAATACATTCTAAGGAGATGGAATAAGGTTTGGTCCAAGCTGGTGGAGGAAAAATGCTAGCTAATATGGTATTGGTGCACCAGGAAAGATCTTCATGTGTGAGTATATGTTTTCATTGGGGTTTGTGCAGAATTTTATGTTCACTGTTTGTGAAAGTCTTGTATTCATTGTTGCTGTCTGTGTTTTCTTGTCTTGTCTGTTTGTATTTTAAAGTGTTCCCCTTTCTGGGAGGTAAGCATAGTCCAGAGTGGGTTTTGGGGGTTCCTCAGGAAATAGAAACTCCCCACGCAGCCACACCAATCTGTCCTCTTCAGGGCATGGTTGAAAGCAAGGATGTGGATGGGTGTTCTTGCCCCTGAGATGAGAATGTGTGAACCTGGCTTTGATTGAAATAGATTCATGAGGTCATTTGCCTGAGCCCAAGCATGGCTGAGTCCAGCTGGGAAAAAGGTGATGATCAGGGCATGTGTGTGTGAGATTTTTTCCTTCCCCCATTCCTTCTATATGAGCCAGAACTGGGAAGTAAGGAAATGCGTGGCCCTTGAATTGGGCTAACACAGGTCCTACCCAGTTTTCTGGACATCCTCAATAAGCTTATCCTGTGTAAAAGCCCTGTATGAAAGATGGGTTATATAGAAACATTTTTATGCAGGTCCTTTCCTTGTCAGAAACCAGGAACACTGTTTTAATGTCTTGTTGCAAGTTTTCCAGCCTCTTCCATCTGCCTTACAGCCCTCCTAGGTAGGAAAAAAAATTCCTTCTTGTTAGATTAAGTAATGGCATTTGAAATTCCAGGAGGGGATGCTGATGGGCAGATGAAAGATGCGGGAGGGAAATGCTTTCTTTGCAAGTTCCTGGGGAGGATTTTACGGTTCTGGGATAGCCTTTGGGTTGTACTTTGGAGTATGTTTGTGAAGGAAGGCATGGAAAGAAAGAAAGAGGATTTGTTCAGGAGGAAACGCGTGCAAAAGGAAAGTACTGTGCTGTGGTTGTAATTTCATGGGGTTTGGATTGGAATTTTGTAGATGTTGTAAGTAGAAAGTAAAGGTAAGTGAGCAGACGGATTGTGGAAATGAAAGAAAAGGAAGGAAAAGTGAAGCAAAGATACAGAAAGGAAGGGTTTTCTTTTATGCGTTGAGGAGATTTTTGGAAAAATAGTGAAAATTGGTTGGTTTTTTTTCTCCCCCTGTTGTTCTTGCCGCTGTTTGGAATGTGAGGTTTGAGTGAAAGGCAAAAAGATGTTTATTCTGGATGTTGTGTGTATGCCATGTGAGAATGAGAGTGACAGGAATTCCTTGATTCAAGGGGTGCATGGTGCTTGGTGTGAGAGAATTTTAAGAGGTTTGGTAAATGGTGATTTGGTACTTTTTCTACTGGAAAAAAATATGGGAAGAAATGTGTAACTTTTGGAGTAAAGACAAGAAAAACAAATGAAAAAAAGAATAGTCTACCTTGCTAAGAGCACTCCCATTATTTAAAGAGACAGTAACTGCAGCCTCTTTGGGTTTGGTCTGGCCAACTGAATTCAGGGGGGATTTGTGCTGGAAA